AAGGAAAACAATAAGGAGTCCTATAGCACATAAGACTTGCTTTTGCTGCCACAGGACTCCTTGTTTTTGCTGAAACAGACTAATATAGCTACCTCTCTGAAACAAGACATTAAATGAGAATCTTCCATACTATGCAAGGAATGAAGCAGGGATCTTGTGAAAAAACAGTATGTGATCATATAATTAAAGACTGTACCATCATAATGTGTGCATGGAGCTAATTTAAGGTTTCATAGTTAACTTTAATTTTGGAATTTTCTAATTTTTCACTTTCCAATCTTAATAATGTTCTTTTAATATAGTTTTGTGTGTGTGTGTGTGTGTGTGTGTGTGTGTACACTTTATGCCATAATTCCTTTGTTCTGACTACTGTAACTTTTTTAATTAAAAAATAACTTTTAGTTAAGGAAGAGGGAGGAAAGAAGGAAACATAACTAGATTCCTATTTTTGAGTCTCTTGGCCTGTGCTCTTTAATATACTTCAAGATATTAGATCCCTGTTGTTAAATTCTTATTTTTCTGTATAAGGTTCTAGTGTCTAAGGCTGTGTGAACTATTAATAAGCATGTAAGACTTCATTCTGGTAACATTCAATAAAGACAAGTGGAAAGTATTTCAGTGAGGAAGAAAAAAATCAAATGCACAACTACAATTCAAAATGATCTGGACAAATTGGAGAAATGGTCTGAGGTAAACAGGATGAAGGTTAATAAAGACAAATGCAAAGTGCTCCACTTAGGAAAGAACAATCAGTTTCACACATACAGAATGGGAAGCGACTGTCTAGGAAGGAGTACGGTAGAAAGGGATCTAGGGGTTATAGTGGACCACAAGCTGAATATGAGTCAGCAGTGTGATGCTGTTGCAAAAAAGCAAACATGATTCTGGGATGCATTAACAGGTGTGTTGTGAGCAAGACACGAGAAGTCATTCTTCCGCTCTACTCTGTGCTGATTAGGCCTCAGTTGGAATATTGTGTCCAGCTCTGGGCACCACATTTCAAGAAAGATGTGGAGAAATTGGAGAGGGTCCAGAGAAGAGCAACAAGAATGATTAAAGGTCTAGAGAACATGACCTATGAAGGAAGGCTGAAAGAATTGGGTTTGTTTAGTTTAGAAAAGAGAAGATTGAGGGGGGACATGATAGCAGTTTTAAGGTATCTAAAAGGGTGTCATAAGGAGGAGGGAGAAAACTTGTTCATCTTGGCCTCTTAGGATAGAACAAGAAGCAATGGGCTTAAACTACAGCAAGGGAGGTTTAGGTTGGACATTAGGAAAAAGTTCCTAATTGTCAGAGTAGTCAAACACTGGAATAAATTGCCCTGGGAGGTTGTGGAATATCCATCTGTGGAGATATTTAAGGAGTAGGTTAGATAAATGTCTATCAGGGATGGTCTAGACAGTATTTGGTCCTGCCATGAGGACAGGGGACTGGATTCGATGACCTCTCGAGGTGCCTTCCAGTCCTAGTATTCTATGATTCTATGATACAAAATGGGGAATTACTAGGAACTACTGGGGGGTAATACAGCTTAAAAGAACATAATACAGGTAAAAATATAATACTTTTTAAAAAAAGACCAGTATCATTCTGTGATGCATTAACAGGAGTGTTGTACGTAAAATATGAGCGGTAACTGTCCCACTATTTGGCATTAGTGCAACCTCAAGCTGGAATACAGTGTTCGGGTCTAGGCACCACACTTTAGGAAAGATGTGGGCAACCTGGAGAAAGAGTCCACAGGAGAGGAACAAAAATGATAAAAGATTTTGAAAAACTATCCTACAAGGAAAGTTTAAAGAAGTGGGCATGTTTAGTCTTGAGAACAGATTATGGGTGGTGAGGGCTGATACAGTCTTCAAATATGTTATGGTCTTTTACAAAGAGGATGGTGATCAATTGTTCCCCATACACACTGCAGGTAGGACAAGAAGTAATGGATTTAATCTGTAGCAAGAGAGATATAGGTTGATCTTAGGAAAATCTTTTTAACTATGAAGTTAGTTCAGCCATGGAATAACTTCCAAAGGAAGCTGTGAAATCCCCCTTCATTTGAGTTTTTTAAAAACAGGATGGAAAAACACCAGATAGGGGTGGTGTCTAGGTTTACTTAGTCCTGCCACAACACACGGGGCTGGATTTGAAGACTTCTCAAGGTCCCTTCCAACCCTGCATTTTCAACTCAAGCTAAGATTTGTATCTCATATTTAAGCATAAATACCTTACTTCATTATGGGTTTTTAAAGTTGTTTGGAACTTCTGCCTGTGATCAACAAAATAGGGGACTGGTTCCTCAGAGTTCATACTCTCCTGTATTTGATCTTTCATTTCAGTTATTATTCATAAGTTTTCAGCATCATAAACATTGTTTCCCTGGCAATAAATTAACAATGAATACTGCATTAATATGTCACCATAGGATGAAGCAAAAAAGAGAAGCAGGATTATAGGAAAATGTTTTTATTCAAGTCTAGGTATCTACAATAAAGAAAACAGCTTCTGTTTTATCTTTGTGCTCTGAATTTATAATCAATCCCCATTCTTACAGCTGTGACCTCCTCCCCCGTGAATTGGATCAAAATATACTATGGCATAACATGAAAAAAATCAGCTAACTAGTAAGCTGTATAGCAGTTGTCTACTCATGAAACACTATGGCTGTGTCTACACTGGCCACGTATTCCAGAAAAGCAGCCGTTTTTCCGGAATAACTTGCCAGCTGTCTACACTGGCCGCTTGCTTTTCCGGAAAAGCAATGATGATCTAATGTAAAATCATCATTGTTTTTCCGGAAAAACTATGCTGTTCCCGTTCGGGCAAAAGTCCTTTTCTGGAAAAACTGTTCCAGAAAAGGGCCAGTGTAGACAGCCCAGTAGTCTTTTCTGCAAAAAAGCCCCGATCGAGAAAATGACGATCGGGGCTTTTTTGCAGAAAAGCGCGTCTACGTTGGCACAGACGCTTTTTCGGAAAAAGTGCTTTTCCAGAAAAGCATCCTGCCAATGTAGACGCGCTTTTTCCGGAAATACTTATAATGGAAAACTGTTCCGTTTTAAGCATTTCCGGGAAAGGGTGCCAATGTAGACGTAGCCTCTATGTTTAGCAAAACCAGTATAAAATGCCCCCATGCATACAAAGAAGAACTAAATGCAGGCTCAGATACTATGCTGAGCCTCCCAGAGACACAGGGCAGAAGACATTGCCCAGGAGAGGCAGAGCTGTCCCAGGGAACATGCCAGTGACCAGTGTAACTTAATACCGGAAGTTACAACAGCCTTCTGGCTGTCCCTGGCTTACAGCACATTTTTGGCATGACCTGCTGTGACTTCTCAAGGCAAGGCTGTGCTAGGAGAATTCTCTCTTGGGCTACACACAGCCTGCAGAGGGCCATCTCAGGCCTTGCGTTTGTGTCAGGGGAAGAACATAGGTAATAGAATAAACAGAATAACTTTCCTGACGTGTAGCATTTAATAGATCGAATCTGGATTCTTTACATGATACTGAATACAAGTAGTAATGCTTGTAATAAATAAGTCAACAACCAGATGACTAAACATTTAGTAGCTGAAGGAACAATTGTGTTTGCAATGCCCCACATTTATAAACAGAATTTGTGCGCATAAACTGGGTAATTGTGTTCTGTAATTGATGCTTATGATCCCACCTGTGCTGACGTGAGGATTTTATTCATCTTCTTGTGCGGCATGTGAGTTTTCCTGTCCTATAATAACCCTACATGTACCTCAGTTTCCCTGGGCATTGCACCAATGCCTCCAGTCAGATGTGACTCTCAGCCAGTACATAGAACACAAGGCTTTATTAGTCAACAGGAACACAGTGTACAACAGAAAACCGGAACATACCGTAAAATCCATCATTAGGAAAGGGGAGCCTAGAGCCAGGGCTCTGGCCCTCCCCACCCTGCACAACAAGTGAAGTCAGAATAATACTTCTCCATCTGCCTGGTCCCAGATCTCTCCGAAGCTCCTCCTCCAGCCTTTGTCTGGCTACCCAGGTAAAAGGTGTCATCTGGGCACATCCCATCCTGGGCTCAGGTTATGAAGGGCATCAGCCATTGTTTAAGTGTAGGCAACTGGTTAACCTCCCTCAGTGGAAGTCAAACTCAAAATTCCCATCACCATCTATGCATACACATCCCGCACTCCCCCACCCCTAGTTCACTCCTGCACCCCCTCCTAGACCTTACACCTCACCTTGCTCCTGCACCCTCCCTTCTCCCTAGATGTCACACCCCCACCTCCACCCCACACCTACACCCTCCTTCCTGCCCAGACGCTGCACTGCTACCCCCATTCTGCTTCTTGGCAGCCCCTCTCACACATTGAATCCCTCATTTTTGGCCCCACCCCAGAGCGTAAAGACCCCACAAAATCCACTAGCCTCGGGCGATTAGAAGAGTTAATCCTGCCAGGGGGCCTCGGTGCCTTTCCCCCATCACACACCTTCATGGGACTGAAGCTTGAGGGAAGTGTCTTTTTCTTCCTGTTTCTCAGTTGGGGAGCCATATCTGTGAGGACTTTTTTTCTCCTTCTCACTTAGGAGCCAAGTCAGTGAGGCCTGTGGGAGGGTTTGGCTTTTCACTTGTGTGTGGCTCCCACCTGATTTTTCTGTGGGTTGGTCCCCAACTCAAAAAAAGGGTTCCCACCCTTGTTTTAAAGTATGCCACAGAATGGAAGTCCTTTCAGATGCAAGTTTTTGCATAGCTCTGGTTTTACGAAGTTTATAGTAATGAGTAATTCTGTATTTTAAGACAAAGCAAGTACAGTAACCCACCTCAGTAGCTGGAGATAATATTCCAGACAGAGCCATCTTAAAAAGTAAAAAATACTAACATTATATTATAAAATCACAATAATGCTTATGGAGTTCATTTTCTTATGGATTGATGTGTATAAATCATATGTAAAAACAATACCATCTTAAAAGTATTGAATTTAGTGTCAGATAATAACTTGCAAAATGTTGAAAAATAAAATATTTACCTGTTCATAGGCAGTGCATGATCCACTGGTCTTGTTTCACACCAGGGGCTCTTTGGTTGCTCTGCATATAAAAGTGATGGCTGGCTGTGTAACGTCAAAGGAGAAATATGTCCAGGAGCAGACCATAAAACATTTGGGCTTGATGTCTGCCTTACAGATGCACTTTCTGAATCACTAAAATTGCTAGGAATGTTGTAATTCATCATAGTAGGACTGTAGAATGCCATTGCAGAATATTCATGTCTGTTTTCCACATAAGATGAAGGAATATAAATTGGACTCTGTTCCATTGTCAGAACAGACTGACTGCAGCTATAAACAGGAGAGTTGATGCCAGAAGGTGAGCTTTTAATTTCTGTTTTACTACGTCCAATATCCTGAATTGGCAGTAACTGAGAAAACTCCTTGTGAGAAGATGCACACATGGACATTTTGAAGCTAGAATGAAGCAGAATATCTGTTGTTCAAATATTCATCCTAAATATATAATCTAGAAAAATGAAAACATTAAAAGTTGCTTAATTTTCTAAACTAAAGCACATTCAGGTAACAAAACTGCATGTCTTGAGTCTTTTTATATAGTGGTAAATATGCAGTCAAAATTTAAAGCAACAATAACAATGAAATATAATTCACACATTGCATTTAAGCTTCAAATTTGTTATCTAACACATGTCTCAATGGTGTGTGTAAATCCTAACTCTCAAGTTTTTGAAGAATTCTACTCAGAACTTTGATCTCAGAAAATCTACTTGAACATTTAATTGCCTCGTTTTTTTTAATCTCATAAATCTGCAAACTTTTCTAATCAATGAGTAGTCTTGTGGCACCTTAGAAACTAATATAAATATAATATCAGGAGCTTTCGTAAGCAAAACCCACTTCCTCAGATGAGCTTGAAGCTACCCCTCTGAGACTTTCAAACTTTTATAGTTATCTGTGAATATGAAGCTGCATTCATTTCAGGGCCAGATTAAGGTATTGGTAGGCCCTAAGCACTCTCTTAATCGTAAACCTTTAAATTAGATTATATATAAATATATAAGGGAGAAATGCCCTATCACCTATACAGCTGATAATTAATTCTATGTTATGCCTGTATGTTGTTTGTTGACTAAAGATAGCAAATTATTAAGTTTGATTTAGTAGTTTTCTTATTTTCAATCCGAAACCCTCCGTTTACCCACAGAAGACACATTTGACCAAATATACCGGTAGTTCAATTTAGTCCAGTAAAACAACTAAACCCTCTCTGCAAAATATGACTTCATGACACAAACTTCATCCTAACTTTGACATACAAGGAAGGTCTTAAATATCTAACAAAATCTCATCTCTAGCAATCCAAGATACTGTAGTAAAATTTTATGTGACAGATATTACAACTGGGTGCAGTATCTCTGGAGACCATACTACGTTAAATTAATTAACAGTTTATATGTCATTGTGGGCCAGGAATTGTATGAAATTCTTGGGGTGGTATGAGAAGGGTTAACACAGATCCTTCAGGCATTAAAGAGAGTAAGGAGTAATTAAACCAATGACTTAGGCTATTAGTACATCCAGAGAGGTACCATCTTCAGGACAGGCTTGCATATACTTGTTCAAATTGGGTTTTCAGAGACTGGCAAATAAAATATTTTTAATCTTAAAAGGCTAAGTTCAAAGAGGGGCAGGGAAAGGGCAAGTTTGTGGAAGGTGTGACTGGTTGGATCACAGAAATCCCGTTGAGACTATGACCCGATGTACTGATCATACCACTGAGCCCACCTGCTTGCCCTCTGGGGCACTCCACTACCCTCTCCTGCTGGGCCAGAATCTCTGGACTCCCCCAGCAAAGGCACAAAGTTGGGGCAACACCCTGCCCGCAGCAGGGTAACATATAAACTGATAGCTGCTTAGCTCTGGGAAGACTCAATTACAGGGACTTGTCAGCATCCAGCATGATGTCACGGGGTGCCCAGAGCACCCAATGTTGATGATGATGTCACCCCATTGACAGCCCTGCAGACGGGGGCGCCAACCACGCGTTCCACCTGGGGCAACCGCTGCAACAGCCGGCCTCAGGCCTCTCCTGCATCCAGGATCACAGACCCAAATAGGACCAAAACCCCAAATGAATTCATCTCATTCTGTATAAAAGTTTACAAGGAGGAAGCTCATCGAGTTCGCTCTCTTTATCAATGAAATAGAAAAATGCCAGCTGTTGTCCCAGGACTCTCAATAACAATTTTTACACTAGGTTTGATAATAAACAAAAGCAATTTTATTAAGCATAAAAAGTAGCATTTAAGTAGTTGCAAGTGGCAACAGATCAAAGTACATTACTAAGTTAAAATAAACAAAGCATGCCAGCTAAGCCCAGTACACTAAAGGTATGTCTACACAGCAGCGTTATTTCGAAATAATGACATGTAAGGGGGACTTCTTACTCCGACTCCTGTAACCCTCATTTCACAAGGAGTAAGGGAAGTCAAAGGAAGAGTGCTCTTCCTTCCACTTCCTGCTGTGTAGATAGCGCCAAAAGCTGAACTAAGCTCTTTCGACTTCAGCTACCCAACTGATGTAGCTGAAATTGCATAGCTGAATTCGACTTTTGCCCTGCTGTATAGACATGTCCTAAGAGAAATAGTTGAATATCACAAATTTCTCATCCTAGATCTTTTTCTAACCTGGGCCCAACTGCTTCTTTCCATCCCCCCATTAGAGTTCTTTGTTTCCAGGTCTCTTCATGTATCTGCTTGTAATGGGAAACAGCCTGTGAAACCAGCTGAAGACCATCATTGTACCGATCCTTTAAATAGAATTTCCTCAGAGCGGAAACTCTTTGTTACATCCTCCCCACCCCAGTGAAGCCATACCAAATTCACCTGTCTTTGTGAGACCAACCACAGTTTAGGCTTACAGGAAAAACAAAACCATTCACAGATCGTTGCCTTGAGCATGGCGTCATTAAGAGTCTTAAGTGCCACTTTCTGTAGAAGACCTAGATTAATAAGCAGGTTTACATTCCATATTTCTAACTTTGCATACAAGAAAGATACTTGCACACAAATCAAATATGCATATTCAGGGGGTCAGACGCTCTTGAACGATAAGTTACTTATCCCATTTGGCATATAGCATATATGAATTATGCATATTCATATTCAAAAATATTGCCATAAAATATGGGGACACTGTCACAGAAGGGTTGGGGAAACTTTAGCTTTCTGGGGGGGATCATACGATAGATGGACCTCTGGTAAGCTTTTAGCATTCACATGGTAACTTTTTTTTTTAATGTTTTCTCTGAAATGCATATATGTATTTTGGTTTGTGAAGTCTGAATGGTAACAGGTTTATGCTATTGTAGCCCCTGGGGCGAAACATTAACCACAGATGCTGGATCCCAGTCAGATCTCTTGTGGAAATCACAGTTAGGTGCAGAGGAACTGAAACCCTAAATTCCTGGTCTGGAAGGAGAAATGCAACTCTCCACTCAAAAGAGGTGACAGAAAAATACCCGGAAACCTTTAAGTGGGTGCCCTTGAGGAAGGCCAAGTTGAGGTAAGAGGGTTCAAACATGCAATTCACTCTGAAACTAGATCATGGTTTTCAAAATTGACAGTTGCAGTTCCCAGTAAGAACATTTTATTGCAGTGGTACTAAAGCCAGACAAGTAAGAACTGCTGCCTTGTTGCATGGCCCCTAATGACTTATGATTTCACTGTCAAGCTCTGGATGCAAAGAAAATGTCTGAAAATCTATATCGTAGCTATCAGTTAAATTATTTCCCTTAAAGGTTGTTTAGCACGTACTGAGCTTTTTGCATACCCTTGTGGTGATATGGGTTCCCTTCACCAGCACTTGTTTTACATTAAAGTAAGGTGATTCAAGTGTTAAGTTGACTTTGAATTAAGGGCAGAAGTGCAGGTTTTTAAAAGGATAAACAATATTTCCTTGCCAATGCCTTCAACATCTCATATTGGGTGTCACCCACAGTTTTCAACATCTCATATTGGGTGTCACCCACAGTCTACCTTGCTACTGCCTCTGAGCAATTCCCTTAATGAACGTATGTCTATACTGCTCTAAAACACCCATGGCTGGCCTGTGTCAGCTCAGCTGACTTGGGCTCTAAAACTACAGTGTAGACACAAAGGCTCAGACTGGAGCCCAAGCACTAGGACTGCATTAGAGGGCGGTTGTTTCAGAGTCCATTAAAACAAAACTGGAAGCACAAGCATAAACCACCAAAGACTCATAATCCAACATTTCAGGGAACTTCAGATTCAGCTGAGGGATTTTTTTTTTTTAATGACCCACAAAGGTGAACAGATGGATCATCAGCCACACCACTCAAAGTGTTGACTTGGACTACTGCAACAGAAACTAAATTCACCCAAATTACTTGTAAAGTAAAACTGTGTAATGATAGCGGGTAAACTTATAACTTGAAATGTGCCCATTTTGCAATTATCTTAGTTTGCATCATAGTTCTCATAAACACAAAAATATACCATTGTAATACATATTTTTGAAGCTTTGAACTGTCCTTATCCAAAACACTTACACACATGAAAATCCAAATATTGTTTTTCTTGACAAATGAGAAATTACTGTTTTATATTTAATACATAGTACCCTATATAATATTAAATATGTCTAATATCACCTTTATGTACAGATAGATTAAAAATTTGGCAGACTTTATACAGTTTTTGGATAGTCATATGTGCGATGCCAAATGTATAGCACTAACAAACCACACCAGGAAAAACAACAACAAAATAGTATGTAAAATATTAACCAGAATGAAGTCAGTGAGAAGTGTGTCGTTGATTCAGTTGAAGCAGTGGTATTGCACACAATAGATTAATTCAATTTGCTACAAAGTTAAACTACAGACTAGAACAACGAATCAGTCTTAACACAATCTAAAAAGTTACTTTGGGATTTCTATTTTAAGGGCCAGATGATTTCTCTTTGGAGAAACAGATCAGCAGACTTTTCCCTGTGGACACTTCCTGCAGTAACAGAAGCCTGCTGCAGACAAGATGTACAATATAGAAGAGGAACACAAAAACAAGAGGAAACTGAGGTAATGTAAAAACTCTGCATGCTCAGGGATCATCATCCCTCTCTGTTGTACTCCCCTCTTACTGGTACATATTTGATAAGGGAGAATAAGGATATTAAGAGCTAGAGTTAAAAACAAAACAGAGCTGAAATTTAAACTTACATGGTGTGGAGGTGTATATTATTTCTTTTAAATCACCCTTAGTAATTTGCTTTTCAGTAGTTTAAATGTATACAGGCAGTCCCCGGGTTACGTACAAGATAGGGACTGTAGGTTTGTTCTTAAGTTGAATTTGTATGTAAGTCGGAACAGGTACATATTGTAGGGGAAACTCTAGCCAAACATTTCTCCAGAGCTCAGTTTTATTCT